CAATGGGCTCAAATTGCACCGCATCGCACCAAAGAAGTGCAGGCAAATTTTTTTGAGCTGCACTGGAACTGGATCATATGGTTGTTTTTTTTACCATGCGATTCAGTTCAGGCAAATGCACTGTGTTTTTGATCTGCTTTTGGGGTATTGTTAACTTTGAATTGACATCCTCAGCAGTTCCCAAAACACAGCACGTTTGCAATGCGGTACGGGAAATGCACGGTAGTCGTAGCATTTCCTGCACCCCATCAGTGTGAACCGGGGCTAAGTTAGATTTATTTTTATTTTTTTTACTAACTTAGCAATCCACTGTATTCCTTAAATCTAACAGAGAGTGTTACACTTCCTGACTGTACTGTGTAAATCTCAGGACTGGATGGGCAAAAATGCTAATCATTTAGCAGATAAAACAGCTCCTCTTTACAGGTGAAACTCGAAAAATTAGAATATCGTTCAAAAGTTCATTTATTTCAGTATTGCAACTTAAAAGGTGAAACTAATATATGAGATAGACTCATTACATGTAAAGCAAGATAGTTCAAGCCGTGATTTGTCATAATTGTGATGATTATGGCTTATAGCTCATGAAAACCCCAAATCCACAATCTCAGAAAATTAGAATATTACATGCAATCAATAAAACAAGGATTGTACATAGAACAATATCGGACCTCTGAAAAGTATAAGCATGCATATGTACTCAGTACTTGGTTTGGGCCCCCTTTTGCAGCAATTACTGCCTCAATGCCGCGTGGCATGGAAGCTATCAGCCTGTGGCACTGCTGAGGTGTTATGGAAGACCAGGATGCTTCAATAGCGGCCTTCAGCTCTTCTGCATTGTTCGGTTTCATGTCTCTCATCTTTCTCTGGGCAATTTCCCATAGATTCTCTATGGGGTTCAGGCCAGGCGAGTTTGCTGGCCAATCAAGACAGTAATCCCATGGTCATTGAACCAGGTTTTGGTGCTTTTGGCAGTGTAGGCAGGTACCAAGTCCTGCTGGAAAGTGAAGTCAGCATCCCCATGAAGCTCGTCTGCAGAACAAAGCATGAAGTGCTCCAAAATCTCCTAGTAGATGGCTGCATTGACCCTGGACTTAATGAAGCACAGTGGACCAACACAAATCAACACAGACTTTGGAAACTTCACACTGGACTTCAAGCATCTTGCAGTGTGTGCCTCTCCATTCTTTCTCCATACTCTGGGTCCTTGGTCTCCAAATGAGATACTAAAGTTGCTCTCATCAGAAAAGAGGACTTTGGACCACTGAGCAACAAACCAGGTCTTTCTTTAGCCCAGGTAAGACGCTTCTGACGTTGTTTGTTGTCCAGGAGCGGCTTGACAAGAGGAATACGACATTTGAAGCCCATGTCCAGGATCCGTCTGTGTGTGGTGGCTCTTGATGCACTGACTCCAGCCTTAGTCCACTCCTTGTGAAAGTCCCCAACACTTTTGAATGGCTTTTTCCTGACAATCCTCTCCAGGCTGCGGTCATCCCTGCTGCTTGTGCACCTTTTTCTTCCACACTTTTCCCTTCCACATAACTTTCTATTAATGTGCTTTGATACAGCACTTTGGGAACATCCAACTTCTTTTCCAATTACCTTTTGAGGCTTTCCCTCCTTATGGAGGGTGTCAATGATGGTTTTCTGCACAACTGTCAGGTCAGCAGTCTTTCCCATGATTGTGATTCCAACTGAACCAGACTGAGAGACCGTTTAAAGGCTCAGGAACCCTTTGCAGGTGTTATGGCTTAATTAGCTGATTAGAGTGGGACACTTTGAGCCTAGAATATTGCACCTTTTCATAATATTCAAATTTTCTGAGATTGTAGATTTGGGGTTTTCATGAGCTGAAAGCCATAATCATCACAATTATGACAAATCACGGCTTGAACTATCTTGCTTTGCATGTAATGAGTCTATCTCATATATTAGTTTCACATTTTAAGTTGCATTACTGAAATAAATGAACTTTTGCACGATATTCTAACTTTTTGAGTTTCACCAGTATACATTTCATCTGTGTATTGAGGTATTTGGTTGTTAGTGGTGGGTCAGAAAAATGGCAAATACCATCCAAATACTTACATTTTGCTGAAAGTGGCAATGCATTTTGGGAACAGAGGCTGAACAAGACTACACACAGTAAAACAAGCTATAGTGGGCTCAAGTCACAAAACGGTATTTTCCACTTTAAGATCAGCAATAAAATAGCTCATAGCGTTTTTCAACAAAAAAACTTTGCATTTTGCTAAAAACTTTACTAACATAAGACATGCACAAAATTAATGGTATTTATCTCATGATGTGATATCCAGTTGGATGGATAAAGTGGAGAAGGTGTGGTGATCCCCTGTCAGTTTTTATTGCGGTCTCTGTGCCCCTGTTAAGGAGATCCACCCTCTCTATTGTTAATGTTTCTCCTTATTACTGAACGTGAAAGGAAAAGAAATTCCCACATTTTGGGTTAACATTGAATGCTAAAAGTGGGGAAATCTCCCCAATGGTACACAGATTTACAAAACACTGACATGGGGTTCTAACCCTCCATTTCTGTATCCAAAATGAAAAAGAATGCTTATGCCTAGAGCTACACTTTAACCACTTCAGTACTGGACACTTTCACCCCCTTCCAGCCCAGGCTGATTTTTAGCTTTCAATAATGTAGCATTTTGAATGACAATTGCATGTTCATGCAAAACTGTACCCATATGAAATTTGTAGCATTTTTTGAGACAGCTAGAGCATTCTTTTGGTGGTATTTAATCACCACAGTTTTCTTTCTAAACAAATACATTTGTGCAAATAAGTAATTTTTCTTTTTCACTGATGTGCGCTGATGAGGCAGCACTGATGGACACTGATGAGGCAGCACTGATGGGTACTGATGAGGAGGTACTAACAACGCTGCATTGAAGAGGCAGCACTGATGGGCACTAATAGGCAGCACTGATGGGCACTAATAAGCTGCACTGATGGAAACTGATTGGCACTGATGGGGCTGCACTGATTATCAGGGCACTGATAAACAGTGACTACATCTGGCAGGCATGGCCATTGGGGCTGTGTGAATTCAGTAATGGAGAGTGTAGATTTCTTCATCCACACTATTAGGCATGGATGGGGGAATCTATTAATTTCTCTTGTTCAGCCCCTTGTATTCTCTCATATGGCTAGCCTGACTTTTTTTTTTTTAAACCCCACCACTCTTGCTGATCTACCATATATAGTACATGGCAAAGACTTTAGTTGAGTTTATTTTAGAATCTCGCCTCCTTTTCAGTTTACCTTCTGTGTACTCGTCCATCTTGGCAGTCACCTGCATTGTTTGCCCATTCAGGGAACTCATCCTACTGACAATTCTTTCACTGCCCTGGTGTCTCTGGTGGACTCCCTGAGTTGTGCTGCCCCCAACCTTCCCTGCTGGATCCTCCCTCATTCTATTCTCCTTTGGTGTCTACAAGTATTAATCAGCATTGCTCTTATTTCTATGGGCATCCTATTTATTGCCAAGGGCAAGCATATTTGTGTGTCAGAAGGCATCAGCACATGTCCTGATTAGTCTACTACCCTGGGCACTTTCAAGGTTCCTGCTGTAGAGTTTGTGAACACTTGGGTATGCTTCTTACCATTTTTGGGCTGACTTTAGTTGCGGAGGCGCTTGTCATGACCTTGCTTGACCTCCACCTCTCCTACATTCCTGACTACCTTCTTTTTTGGCACTGTCTCTGCCAAGAAGGATATAAACCTAGGCCGGACCCTATGCACAAACTTGCCTGATGCCTAGTACAAGCCTTGGACTGCATACCTGCCTGCTGAACAAGATCTACTCTCAGCACAAGGAACCTCCGTTTAAGACTAGACTAGATGCTTCCAGGTTATGCACCTTGGCAAGAATCTGCTGGTGGTTCCAAGAATTCTTGTCCGTTCTACCAAGTTTGACATAATCCTACTTCTCATCCAAGATCTTAGCAATACAACACACCAAAGGGGGATGATCAACAGCCAAATCATGTCTACAGGCTTTGAACTGACCATCCAGTTGGATGAATGCACACAAGGATTCCCTTGTGGCATACATCCTCATGATCTGCTGGCACTCATTTCATGTGTTGTTATTATTAAAATGATTCATTTATCTCCATCTGCCCTTGATATTTGTGGTCAACTTGCACACTTCTTTTTGGTTCTCTGTTTTCTTGTGCTATTGAAGATTTTTGGAAAACCTTAATAAACATCTTTGTGAAAGAATGCACACAAGGAAAATTTCCTATTTCTATGGAATGCTAAAGTTCTCAAGTTAACAGCTGCTCTAGGAAAGATGCGATCCTCTATGTACAGTACTATGAGCATAGTATTACAGACCGTCAGTGTCCTGGAGTCTCATTATACTGCTGCATGAGGATTAATCAATGTTAGTTGCTGTAAATGAAAGAAAGTGTATGCAGCCTGCATTTAGTTTTATTTCTGCCTGACCTCATAGCTTGCGGTACTAAGCTTGTCAATCAACGCAGCACATTTATCTGCCAGGGGAAATCTCCTGGAAAATGAATAGAGAGACAGTTTTCTCATGTGCCAGCTAGTGCCTTTAAAGCTGCTATTTAGGTAACATAAAATTAACACAGAGCAGCACAGAAATACTCTCACCGGACACTTTATTAAGTACACCTTGCTAGTGCCAAGAAAATATCGCCCACACCATTACACACCACCAGCCTGAACCATTGATACAAGACAGGATGATCCATGCTTTCATGTTGTTTATCCCAGATTCTGACCCTACCATCTCAATGTCGCAGCAACCAGTCTACCCATTCTCCTCTGACCTCAACAAGCATTTTTGTCCACACAACTGCCGCTCACTGGATATTTCCTCTTTTTCGGACCATTCTCTGTAAACCCTAGAGATGGTTGTGCGAGAAAATCCCAGATCAGCTGCTTTTGAAATACTCACACCAGCCCGTCTGGCATTAACAACCATTCCATGTTCAAAGTCACGTAAACACTTCCTGTCCGGCCGCTGTATATAAACGGCAGGACGGTGGCAGTCCAGGGGCGGGTTGCTGTTCATAAACGGCGCCCGCCATTTTGGATTGTGCACGTTCCCTGGGAGCGCGCGGCACTGTGATGTGAGGTCCTCTGTGTGAGGTACCGATCATGGGATCACTGATTGGCCAATCAGTGATCACATGAATAGGTGTAAGCAAGATGTCACTTCTGACATCATTGCTTACTATGTGTGAAATCTGTGAATGATCACAGAGGTCACATGGTACAAGGCTATTCACAACAGCTTTGTACCATGTGACAAGCATGTGACCAATCACAGCTCACACAGTATTTCTCAATGGCTGCAAGAATGCAGCCAGAGAGAAGGAGAAATTATTGCTTTTACAGCCTTTATGTGTGTAAAAGCAATCAGTGTAAGAAAAAAAAAAATATATCATCACCCTCCACAAGTAGTACAGTGTCACTATGATGACACTGTACTGCTAGGGTGACAGTATGTTTAAAATATATATATATAAATAGCAATATAAAAAAATGTAAAAAAAAAAGTGTTTAAAAAATTATAATTTTTCATTATAAACTAATTTGGGTTATTTTTTTTTACTAAAAAGACAACTGAATACATGTTGGCCAAGATTTATGAAGAAAGATTATTTATTTGCAAAATTTTATAAGAAAAACACTTTTTTTCAAAATTGTTGGACTTTTTCATTTATATAGCAAAAAAAATTAACATCCCAGTGGTGAATAAATACCACCAAAATAAAGTTTTATCGGTCTCAAAAAAATGCAAACAAATTCATATGGCTACAGTGTTGCATGACCACGCAATTGTCATTCAAAGTGCGACAGCGCTGAAAGCTGAAAATTGGCCTTGACAGGAAGGGGGTGAAAGTGTCCAGACAAGACGTGGTTAAATCCCCTTTCTTCCCCATTCTGATGCTCTGTTTCAACTTTAGCAAGTCTCCGTCACCAAGCCTAGATTAGCAATTTGTGTTACCAAGCAATTGAACAGGTGAACCTAATAAAGTGGCCGGTGAGTATATATCCCAAATGTGGTTCTGTTTTTTGCCCAGAAGGTTAATAAAACACAAGGCTGAAAAGCTGGCAGCCGCTATAGTATTTCCATAATGCACTTTTGAGTCTTGAAAATCCTGAGAAGTAAAAGCATTTTAATACGGAATAAACAAAGGCAAAACTTGAGATAAGAGCACTATTGCAGAGTGCTGGACAGTAATGTGCCATTCTCCACAACTGGCTCTCAAACACTTCAGAGGATTACGAGTCTTAGTTGGTGGAAATAAGTACGTGGAAATGATGGCAGGCTGTGTGAATTGCTGTTTGAATTCTGTGCTGCTGTCATTGTGAGGATATATACACAATTAGAAAGCTTATTTTAAAAAGCACATCATGAGAAAAAAACATGCATATATAAATGAAAATACTTCTGAAGATACTCAAACCATTAGCGGATTAAATGAAAGCACCAAAATGGAGAGCTTGCGTTACATGACATTACCGTACAGCAACCAAGGGGCTGACTGTGTGGGCAGCTATTGCCCATACTAACCTAACTCAATATTTTACAAATATCCACACAGGTAGGATGCATCTGTAGCTTTTCCGGTTCAGAGAGTCTTTTCTTATTGAAACACTGTGTGAAGCTATACAGAGAAAGAAAACAGGTTGAGAGTGGGATTTTTCACTCTGGTGCATTTAGCTGTGCTGTTAACCACTTGATCTCCGGAAGATTGACGGGGGGGTCCCTTCATACCAGGCTATTTTTTGCTATACGGCACTGTACTACTTTAACTGACAATTGTGTGGACATGCAACACTGTACACAAATGACATTTATATCATTTTATTTCACACAAATAGAGCTTTCTTTTGTTGGTATTTGATCATCGTTTGGTTTTTTTTTTTAATCTTTTGCACTATAAATGAAAAATTGACTAAAAATTTTAAAAAATATATTTTTTATTTTTTGCTATAAAACATATCCCATAAAAAAAATTCTTCAAAAAATGTGGGCCAAATGTATTCTTCTAGATGTCTTTGGTAAAAAAAAAATCCCAATAACTGTATATTAATTGGTTTGCTTGAAAGTTATAGCGTCTACAAATGGCGATATATATACTGGAATTTTTATTTATTTTTTTATTTTATACTAGTAATGACGGTGATCCGTGACCTATAGTGGGACGGCGGGATGGGCCTTCTGAAATTAACTGGCACTAGGTGGGAACTGACTGACACTGACATCTCCAGAGACACTAATACAGTGATCAGTGCTAATAAAAAGCACTGACACTGCACTAACGACACTGGGTAGGAAGGGGTTAACATCTGGGGCAATCAAAGGGTTATCTGCGTACTGTTTTGTGCCTACTGTGTGCTGTATTACTAGGGGAATTTCTTCTTTTTATCTCTCTGCTTTGCATAGAGATAGAAAGCAGCACATTCCTGCTGACAGGAGTGAGATCTGTGTTGTTTACACTCAGATCTCTCCCGTCAGCTGCTCCGCAGATCACCGAGTCCCAGCCATGAATAGCTGGCTGGGACCCAATGATTGACATCTCTGGGAACCAATGACAGTGTGGGTAGGATGGTGCGCACGAGCGCCCCATACCTGGACATGCAAAATCCCATATATTTACATGATTTTGCGAAGAATGGCTGCCCTGTAGCACTACATCTGCTATAAGGCGGTCCTAAAGTGGTTAATCTGAGCTATGGCAGTCCTTGAGTTATGAACATTCAACTTATGTATGTCTCATTCCTATGAATGGAGGCAGCGTGATGTCACTTCAAGCCGCTTGCACTCCACTCTGACCCCGGAAACTGCCAGATGACCATCTTGCTGCTCACCGCATGCTACCACCTACTGTCCGGCGGACCTATCAGCAATCCCACATCACGGCATGGCCAGAACTGGTGAGATACAGTTTATTATAACAATCCCAGTTCCCTGGGGCTGGAAGAACTTGTGCATTGCTGGCACTGTCTGAGGCATTACTCTGTGCCCACTACTATTGGGAGTATGCCCTAATTTCCAGCTGTAGCTTACTGTACTATATATAGTTGGTCAATACATTTTAGTTTTTTCATTTTGGCTAGTATGGTGTGGGGTTAGAGCCACTGTGTGGTTTTTACTGCTGTCTGTATCCTTATTAGAAAGTTTTAATTTCACTTCCTGTCCCTGAGAAGCAGTGAAAGGAAATCTACCCCTAATTTGGAAAAGTCACTCCTGTAAGAGTTATCATGGGAAAAAGGTGTCTCCACTGAAGCTTTATCACAAGTACTTGTTTCCAAAATTTCCAAAAAATCCAACATTTTCTAAATCCAATTGTCACAGAGACGGAAAGTGAGGTGAAATCTTCTGAACAGGGCACAGACAGATAAAAAACAAACAATACAGGGGTGTTAACCCTTCCTTATACTATCCAAAAGTTACACTTAAAAAATGTACCTGTTCCAACTTACATACAAATTCAACTTAAAGCGGAGCTCCACCCAAAAGGGGAGGTTCTACCTTTGTCCCCCGCTCCCCATTAAGGATTGGCACCTTTGGGGAGCGGGTACCCGAATTTGACAGGGAGACGCTCCCACTTCCGCTGCGATCGCCTAGGCCAGGGGTCCTCAAACTTTTCAAACAGGGGGCCAGTTCACGGACCTTCACACTGTTGGGGGGCCGGACTATAGTTTGAAAAAAATATGAACAAATTCCTATGCGCACCACACACATTTTATTTGTAGTGGAAAAAAACAGGAAAAAACAATACAATATATAAAATGCACTGTACACTAACACACTGGACACTCCAATGCACTGTACTCTGTAATGCACTGGACACTGCAATGCACTGTACTCTGTAATGCACTGGACACCGAAATGCACTATACACTGTAACACACTGGACACCGCAATACACTGTAACGCACTGAAAACCACAATGCACTGTACTCTGTAACACACTGGACACCGAAATGCACTATACACTGTAACACACTGGACACCGCAATACACTGTACTCTGTAAGGCACTGAACACCACAATGCACTGTACTCTGTAAGGCACTGGACACCGCAATGCACTGTACTCTGTAAGGCACTGGACACTGCAATGCACTGTACTCTGTAAGGCACTGGACACTGCAATGCACTGTACTCTAACGCACTGGACACTGCAATGCACTATACACTGTAATGCACTGTACACTAACGCACTGGACACCACAATGCACTGTACACTAACGCACTGGACACCACAATGCACTGTACACTAACGCACTGGACACCACAATGCACTGTACACTAACGCACTGGATACTGCAATGCACTGGACACCGCAATGCACTGTAACGCACTGGACACCGCAATGCACTATACACTGTAATGCACTGTACACTAACGCACTGGACACCACAATGCACTGTACACTAACGCACTGGACACCACAATGCACTGTACACTGTAATGCACTGGACACCGCAATGCACTGTAACGCACTGGATACCGCAATGCACTGTACTCTGTAACACACTGGACACCACAGTGCGCTGTACACTAACGCATGGGATACCGCAATGCACTATACACTGTAACGCACTGGACACTGCAATGCACTGTACATTGTAATGCACTGGACACCAAAATGCACTGTACAGTGTAATGCATTGGACACCACAATGCATTGTAAACTGTAACGCACTGGACATCACAATGCACTGTACTCTGTAACGCACTGGACACCGCAATGCCCTGTACTCTGTAACGCAATGGACACCACAATGCACTGTACACTAATGCATGCACTGCCCTGACAACCACTGGACACTGCAATGCACTGTACTCTGTAACGCAATGGACACCACAATGCACTGTACACTAACGCACTGGACACCGCAATGCACTGTACTCTGTAGCGCACTGGACACCAAAATGCACTGTACACTGTAACGCACTGGACACACCGCAATGCATTGTACACTAACATACTGGACACTGCAATGCAATGTACTCTGTAATGCACTGGACACTGCAATGCACTGTACACTGTAACGCATTGGACACCAAAATGCACTGTACTGTATAACACACTGGACACCGCAGTGCATTGTACACTAATGCACTGGACACTGCATTTATTGTAAAATTAACGCACTGGACATCACAATACACTGTACTCTGTAACGCACTGGACACACAATGCACTGTATACTGTAACGCACTGGACAACACAATGCACTGTACTCTGTGACGCACTTGGCACCGCAATGCACTGTACTAACTGACACCGCAATGCACTCTGTACACGCACTGTACAC